GGACAACCATGTCAACACTGCAGGCATTAGCTCACTCTGCTGCTGAAATTGGTCTTCTACGCCAACCTCTCCTAAGTCTGACCCCAGTGGGACATCCAACCATACCAATGCGATCTCTTCGTTTATTATTGCCCATTGCTGTTTACAGTCGTGGCGTTTTGAATGTGCGCTGAAGTTTTATATGTCATAGGTCATAGTGAGCTGAGCATGCTTCAGCTGGATTAATCATTTTTTAGTTAGCTGTATTAGACTAAGCGTTTCACTGAGACCCACGGGATATGTATAAAATGGCATGATACGAGGGTGATTCCTTTTACTGTGAAGATAGAATACCCCCAAGCGTTACGAAACCCCATTGTACCTTCCTATATACCAAACTCAACATGACCAAAATCGACAACAGCACCATCAACTCCGGTTTCAACGTGGGAAACGAGCTCGAATACATGCTAGACCGAAGCTACACTGCGGCATCCAGACTAAACTATCAATTCTACCTCTGGAAAGACACCCTCCAATTCAACCTCCACCAGTCGATCCAGCTGCCAAAGAGTGATTCCACTCCCATCCGGATTGCTGACCTTGCCACGGGCACAGGCATCTGGCTCTTGGACCTACTCCGCGATCCTGTAGTGACGCAGTACACGTCAATCCGGCTGGATGGCTTCGACATCGACCTGACAAACGCCCCTCCACCCGAATGGCTCCCTTCACCTATCACGCTCCGCCAGCTGAACATCTTCGATAACATCCCCAGCTACCTCCGCGGCAAATACGACGTGGTTCACCTCCGCCTGCTAGTCCTCGTCGTGCAGAACAGTGACCCCCTCCCGATTATCCACAAGGTGCACCAGATGCTCAAGCCCGGCGGCTACATCCAGTGGGACGACCTGAACTACCCCGACAGCGAGATAGTCAAAGGCAATATCATGGGTGACGTGGCTACTCCGGCGCACGACGCCTTTCTTCGATTTGCACAGTCAAATGGGCGCAATGACTGGGTACTAGATCTCCCGCATCATTTGATGTCGCGCCATGGTGGGTTTGAAGATGCGCAATTACTTAACTATACGGACCGGCCGGAGTTGCGCAAGGCGAATGGGGACCAGTACATTCTGGTCATGGAGGAGTTTTCAGCTCGCCTCAAATGCGTCGGGAAAGCCGAGGACGCACGTAATATTGATCTGATGATTAGGGGGCTGGCGGAGGAGTCGAGATTGGGGGTTGGGTTGTCGATGCCGAGGGCTGTGTGTGTTGCCCGGAAGAAGGTGGATCAAGATTGGTAGATTTGACGAAGATTGAGGTAATACAGTGCTACATTATTGGCCAGGAAATGATATCCGCACGCAAGACGAGAAGGAATGCGCACCATTGTGACAAAGAATGCATTCTGTATCAGTGGTTAGCCATGTGATTAGCTGCTCGTTATTGCACTACTGCATGCAAGGAGAAGGGCGCAGGACACAACAGAATAGGATAATAAACGATGATGTGACAGATCTAACTGTGAAGGAACTGGTCTGTCTCTACCAATTTTCTCCTGTTGAACATGGTATCTCTTTCACCTCACCGATGTCCATTTAAACCCCTCGTACGCGGTCAATCGCTGTAGAATCCGTCATTTTCTTAAGGCGCAATACCTGAAGATGTCCATCGACACATCTGTTTGGTACAAAAATGACATTGGACTCCGGCTCAGCCCATCAATGCAACAGATCTTAGAAGAATGGAGCAACATTCCCAAGAATGAGCTGCAGCATCATCTCCATGCAGTGGTGAGTTGTTCTCATCGGTGGGGCGGTGATAAACTGAATCTGAAACCTCACCTCAGCGCGATAAAGCATGGAAATACGGTGAATATCCCTGTATTGGCCAGTGGATGTTTCTCATGCCGGGGATCGCCGCGTTCCCTCAATTCCAGCAAGTGGTTGAATTCGCGCGTCGGGGAGCAATCGTGCTGGATCTGGGGTGCGGCCTCGGCCAGAACCTTCGACTGCTGGCAGCTTCTGGGGCTCCTTCTAATAGGATGTGGGCGCTTGATCTGAGCCCGCAGCTGTGGCGTTTGGGGTACGAGCTCTATCGAGATCGCGATCGCTTGTCAGCAACGTTTATTGCGGGCAATTTTCTACACGAGGATGACTGTCTCGGTCTACAGGAGCTGTATGGTGAGGTAGAAATCATGATTTCTGGGCAGTTCCTCCATCTCTTCTCTTGGGAGGGGCAGAAACAGGCAGGCAGGCGCATCGTGGCCCTGTCCAAGCTTGGGACAATCTTGATTGGATATCAGCAGTCACGACGCCGAGCTCGGGAGTATATTCGTCCATGGGGGATGATGTTTTTCCATAACCTTGAGAGTTTTCTGCAGATGTGGCGAGAAATTTCCCAAGAGACTAACACTGAGTGGAAGGTCGAAGCAACAGTGGTGGACTTGAAGGAATGGGGGATGGAAGCCGAGGACACTGAATGGATGCCAGCAGATCACCAGGGGCTTAACTTCTTTCTTACTCGAGTGCATTAGAGTTTATCTTTTGTCAGCCGTGGAGACTGCGCCTGTAGATTGTCTTACTATCTTAGTTCAGAGAGGCCAATCAGTTTGGAAGCAGGCAATGGTGAACTGCAATGAGGCGCACAGATGGACAAGATGTATCTTATTACGTGAAATGATTCTTCAGGGTGAATATATTCTAGAACAGCTGTCTCATACCCAACTTGGCAATGAGAGATATGCATATCGCCCCAGATTTTTATTGCCACTTTCCAGTGCTGGGTGCTCCACATCCTTGCTGCGGAAATGTTTGGCATCGCACCCAGCCACTGTTTTGTGGACTGCAGTAGCACTGCGGCACTAAGCTTTCGGCCTCCGCAGCCATGTCCCCAGCCAATAGTGACCTTGACCAGCCCTGAGGCGCTACTCCTGTACATTGAGGGTATGCCCTCACTAATACTTTCTTGGACAGACACTCACAGTTTAGCCTCATGATGATGTTCAACAGAGGATCCAAAAAGCCCATGATCTGTTGGACCCTTATAGTTAACATAGTAAAACCTCCAACTACTCCCAGTTGGTACATGCATTGCCACTGGCCAATCCGCCTGCCATTCTTGATAGTAAAGAGGCTGAGGTCATAAGAATACGTACAAGAACCTTTTTCGGTGATGCCGAACCTCACTACTGAATATGGGATGTGTTCTACGGAGTACCACCCTGGAGGCAAAATGCAGTATTAGAATGTACGTGGAATTTTTTCATTGGGTTTGATTTTGTGGCGCTGTGATTCAGACTTTATAGAGCTGAATCTAGGACTAAAAAGTGGGAAACAAGTATTTTAGCTCATAGGTGACACCGAGAGTCAGCCAGCCGCAGGAAGAAGGGTTGAAGGGGTTCAGCCTAGAGGATCTGCCTCCCTCCTTTGTAGGACCACACACTAAATAGTGCCCTAGTTTTTCGCTCAATGGGAGGGTTAACAAGTTCTCTGGTGCCATATACTATCTATTATTTTCTCAGTCCCTATTTAGTCACTAATCAAAGATGAATTGCTTCAAGATTGTTTGCCCTGAGAATACACGAGATCTTCATTTGATCTTCATTAGTATTCGATTTGTAATTCTTTTCCAAATAGTTATTATCAAAGGAGGCATTTCTGTCCGTGTCTGTACCCAAACTTTTCCCCTCTCAAAATGCGTGACGCGGAAAGAGGGGTGAACATTACTTACACTTCCAGATCTATCACAATCAGTACGTGCCAGAAAACATGCACCTCCTGTGCAAAGAACCTAACGCAACTTCATATGGCTAGTCTACCACTGAACTACAGTCAATCCTCCTTGTGCTGTTGACCTTTCAAATACACCTTTTGATGGAAGTGGATATCCAGCAGCACAATAGCAGACCCCTCGGTAATTGATTTTCTCGGGGCATTTTGTAGCCGCCATCCTGCCCATACTATTTCAGGCTGTTCCTCATCCATGCCCCATGCCCATAGTAATCTCGTATGTAGTTACCACAGCTACTTTGGCTACCTCCTTATCACCCTGTAATCGTGACAACCTAGTTCTCGACAGTATGGAGTAGCTTCCTAACGTTTACTTCGACTGCCACTTGCCGGATGATTACAACGAAAGTAAGCTGACGGACCCTTCCGCTGAACCTTAGTGTCATCTAGGATCCACCGCTAAGGTACTGATTCAAGACAATGACCGATGTGGTAGAGTACTTATTGGGTGGACGGCATCGACGCACATCTTCGATACCGAAACTCTCGCGGTCAAAACGTTCTGCATTTGGCATCAAGGCTCTGCAACCTAGACATGTTCCGCCTTTTGATCCCGCGATTCCAGGAAGGTATACTTCAAGCAGACAACCAAGGACACACACCCATAGTGCGGATTATAATGCATTCCTCACTTTTTGGGGACCCGTACGAGTCGATGATAATACTGCTCTCACAGAATGGCATTGCCTGGAATAGCCATACTTGGACGGGCAACAAAATCCATTGTGGCTGGCTGAGCAACTTGGTGATCAAGACATGTGTCGCCACCTGATCGATGTTGGCAACATGAATCTACTCTTTTCGTGACGGCCCTAGTAAATTACAAGCTAATTAATCCGGTAGCATATATTCATATAAATCATCATTTTAATAGTGATAGCTATATCGATTTCCATCCTGAGTGGGAAACTCCCTCAACTGCTGCTTTAACCATCCAATGGCCTCAGCTGTTTCCTGCATCTGGACAAGATCCACCTTGGCATATTTGTCCATCAGCTTAACCTCAAGTATGGAGAGAAATCTTTTGTCTTCCTGGACCGCACCACGCCATCAACTATACAGGTGACTGAGTTATTCCAAACTGGGGCACAAATCGCAAGCGTGTCCTCATCTTCGGTCTTATCACTTTTCCGGTGCATTCGATGTTCGATAACCTCCTCAGGTTAATGAGTTCCTGGATGAGGAGGAGGTGGTGCACATCGGCTAAGGCTCTCCAGCGTAATGGATCTAAGCGGGAACAAGATCCATGAGACCGAGGGCTCCAGTGGCCTTATCACGTAATCTCTCGACATTGAAGTAAAGCATGTCGTCGCCATTACGGTCTGGCAGCAGCGCTGGCCCCAAAAGGTCCCGTCTTCTGATCCAGAGGTCGTTGGGAGTTGCAGGACGCGGGAATATAGTCTGCACAACAGGTAATAAGCATGTAAAAGAAATATAATAATATACCTTGAACATACCTCGCTCTGTTGTAGTGCTGGCATCCCATTGCTGTCTCTGACGAAGAGTTCAACAGTCCCCGAGACGCGACCTTCGTTTAACTTTGTCCATTCGACAATAATGACAACCTTAGTGGTACCATTGCCCCCCACTAGCGATAGATCCATGCCCTTGTGGAGCTGTTCCTTTTCCTCACTCCAGCCGGATTCTACCGCAAGAGTCGGGAGAATATGATAGTTAGCTAGGAAAAACAAGTCAGGTTCCTTCCAGGAGCCGCTATATGGGCCGGATTTAAAGTAAAGGGCTATATATGCTAGATTAGAATTCCTTAGTCAAGTAGACCGTAAGACGACTTACTAGTGCCGACTCCTGGATAAAACAGGTCTACTTCTTGTCGTGTGATGTCGCCATTAAAAAACCAGTCCATCGGTGGATGAAACAACCACGACTGGATGGAGTTGATTATCTCGGTGTGCATGACTCTAATCCGCAGCTCGCGGCTCTTACTGTTATAGCTTTTTCTGGATGTTTTCTAAATGAGTAGGACAAGATTAGACGCAGAAGGCTTTGGCTTACCGAGAGGGAATTTTCATCAATAAGCTGATACACTGCGTCCGCCCACGAGGGAGGCACGCCAGTGAATATAAACACATGATACTCATTGTTTTGACGCAGCGAAGAGACGATGTGATCTGTAAAATCAGCCTGCTCATCAAACTGATTTGCCGAAGTCACAGTTATGAATGAGCTTGGCTCGGTCGTAGGGGCAGAAATGGGAACATCTGACATTGTGAAAGGAGACGTCTAGACAAACACTTCTAGCATAGAATGAATAATAGTGCAGAATATGCTTAACTGAACAGCTGTATTGAGATTTAGGAATGAGCAGGTGTTGAAACGGGAAGCTAAAGAAACCTCAGACATTAACTGGCATCTGAGGAATAACTGCCATCGACTTGTCATAATGATGTACTAGGTGTAGCTGGGTGCAAGTCTGTGACTACCAAAGGCCTGCGGAGCAGCAAATATTCAACTAAACTACTCTAATTCTTGATTAGAGGCTATGTGGCCTAGTTGGGTATGCTGGTAGATATCTAGTCATCTACCATCCTAGAAGGCTAAGAGAGAGGGGGCTCAGGGGTGCATAGTAGGGAAGAAAGGCATTAATAGTTACCAGGGGGGCAGGCCCTTTTACCATATATCAAGACTCTAGGATACTATGAATACTATAGTGATTAAGAGAGTAATTATAGATGCTTCATATGTCCAGGTTGGATATGAGTTCAAAGTCCGTTGGCGTGTGATCGTGTTTGGGTACGTCAGTAAATAGCAATAGGAAATCGTGATATCCTTTTGCTTCACTAATTGAGGAGAGGACGTGACCTCTGAAAACAGCCTGTTAATTAAACTGATTTGCTGAAGTCAAGTCATGAACGAGCTCGACTGAGCGTAGGCATGGAAAATGGAACATCTGACATGATGAGGAGAGGGTAGATGAGAAGATGCCAACCCAGAGAAGTGTCTAGACGACCATTTATAGCAAATTATGTTCAACAGAGGGGAGCTATTGAGGTTTAAGAAAGAGCAGGTGCTGAAATGGGAAGGTCAACTCTCTCCAGCTAAAGAAACAGACATTCACTGGCCTCTGAGAGCATAGGTGGGAAGTGATAACTGTCATCGACTTGTCATAATGATGTATTATCTATAGAGGCAAGTGAATGGTTCTACAGATCACCCCCCCGTTTAAGCCTTATCTGCTCAGCTTGCTACTCCCAAGATGTACGACTGCTACCCGCCGCTCAGCCCTGATGAAACTAAAGTCAGGACAACTCGGGCTCAACCACTTCCTGCGCCTAATCAACGTGGTTGACTCCCCTGGAGTGCAGGTTCGGGGAAACGGTGCAGACCCCTAGGCACGTCATCCTGGCGTGTCCCCGACATTGGAACCTCCGAAGGAGACTCTTCCGGTGCCTATGGCACCGGTATGATAACTCTAAATACAAATCTCTTAGCTGAAATCTATGTGTAGCTTCCATAGACCTTATAATATAGACAGAATTACTAGGGTAATTTGAGTAGCCACCGGGAAATATACATAGCTAGAGGACAGTAATAGTAATAGTGACTCCTCTAACCTAGATAAGCACTAAGATAGAAGATAGTTTAGTATGCAGCTATAGGGGGAACCTCATGGCACGTATTGATATGATGCTAGGCAGGCCCTAGGGCTTCGTGCACCAGCTACACATCTCTAAGGTGATGTTGCCTCCTTTATATATTTTATTTTCCTTTATTCGCACAGTCTGGCTTTGGAAGATTTTAGCTTAGGAATCCTAACTAGTTCCATCTATCAGCGAGAGCACCTCCTGGAAGGAATGCCTGTACCGCAGCATTCTCATTGTGATATAGCCGTAGGTACGAGCAAATCGAAGGACATTCCACTCGAGCTCTAAGTTCAATCCACCATATACTGCGACCTGCTTTGCGGTACCATAGATACAGCAGCAGAAGCGCTACAGGATCCCTATTCCGGAGCAAGTCTTCGAAAGGGCCATGGATACTGCGCGTGAAGAGTTGAGTTTGACCTGTTGTGACCTCGCTATCCGGGAGGTCCAGGATCTGGGATACTCCGTGGGCGGCATGGAAATACGGATTGTTTCCCGCCGTAGATGAGTCGCTCAGGAGACACAGGGCAGCCAAGGCCGTCGGTATACCATCTATGCCACTCTCTGGCAAGGGTGAATGCATAATAGCAAACGTCGCCGCCATGACGCTGAAAAGACTGTCCGGTCGTAGCGGGTTCACTATGTGCCACAGTGCCATTTTACCCTTACTCATACGTAACCAGTCCAAATCGGAGTAGTCAGAGGACTTTAACGGCCACGATTCTTCCGGCGTGGATGCATCAGGGGACGAGAAGGTCAAGATAGCCACAGCAGCCGCAGTGGCCCAGATTGGGTCCTTATCTTTCGCTTCAATCGGTTCCCTTAACCGTCTGTTGAGAAGAGCTGTGCTTCGTGACCAGTGATAACACTCTTCTAGACTGCGACGACAGCCTAATGAGCTATTCAGATGGCGGTCATATGTATATGCCACAGCTAGAGAGGCGTGCATTAAAAAAGGGTACTGTAAGCTATATGTTAGCCGATTTCAGGTCCATAATGTAATCCAGGAGGTTGACAGAATCAATGTAATAATACGTACAGCAAAGGCTAGTCGCAGGAGCCTGCGATTAACGTGTATCATATTAGGGTCATCTGGGGTAATGAGACTGCGTCCAAGGTATCGGGTGATAAAATCTTGACACTTTGCATTCAACTGATAGAATGTGGATTCATCTGACGTCCAGACAGCACTGGCGACAGGGGGTTGAAGCTCTGCTTTTCCTCGAACCACCAAAGGCCTCCCTGTGTCAGCGGCGATGGGCTGTAGGTCGGGAACATTAGACATGAAGTTGCATAATACTCCGAATGAACTACATCTCTTGCATTGTGGTTTGCTTTCGTCGCACTGATTCGTTCAGCCAAGCACAGTCTAGCAAAGCCGAGAGCCACGCACCTTGAGTTTTCTGAGCTTGCAATTTCGGCAGCCAAATCTCGACCTCCGGAGCGTTCTGCGTTCCCGGACGTCTCTTGGACGAGTCGAGGCCATCCTTGGTTAATTGTCAATGCTTTGAGCAGCTGCCTGTGAGTGATGAGGTGGAGGAGTGGCCATGGTCACCCAAGGAGGCCAAGGACACTAGTGACCCAAGTTCCACATCGTCACCCAGATGCTAAGTTGCTAACCTCCTTTCGGAAACATGCCGCCCACGCTAGCTATTCCTCGGATGCGAAGGTCTCTGATTGGCTGCGGGTTCTGTTCTGACTATATCACTATATCAACTATATCAAAGAGTAGGTGGTTTGAAATGATAGGTAAATTGTATAAATAGAAGGTGTTATTCAACATCCTAGGATAATGTCTATAGCATCACAATAAAAAGATTTGACTTGAACCATATCCTCCACCTCGAAACCTCTACTAACACCAAACTCCAAATGGCCACCCACCTCGCCGCTGTCTCCCCAGCCAAAGGCCAGCCCTTTGAGGTTCAACCCCGGCCAACCCCAAAGCCAGGACCAGACGAGCTCCTCATCGCCGTCAAATCCGTAGCCCTCAACCCGGCAGACGCCTACATGCGTGACCAAGGCCTCTTCATACCCGCGTACCCCACGGTCATTGGCTTCGACATGGCGGGCTTAGTCCTCGAGGCCGGCGAAAACGTCCCCACCGGTGCTACGGACAATCGTCCGGGCCCCTCCTTTCAACCGGGTATCACCCGTGTCGCCGCCTACGCCGCTTCTTACTGGAAGGCCTGCGACCCAGACTACGGCGCATTTCAGGAGCGCTGCCTCGTCCCGTGGCAGCATACTGTGCCACTTCCGGACGAGGGCATCTCCTGGAACGACGCGGCAACCTTGCCCGTCGCTGTCGAGGTAGCCCTTAATGCGTGGGATGCCATGGGGATCCCCCGGGCGGGAGCCGGAGAAGCCACTGCTTCTGCTCCAGTCTCCGCTGGCGCTGCCGTTACCGATACTGACACCAACAGAGAGAAGCAAAGGAATAACGTGGGGAAAAGAGAAGCTCTCCTAATCTGGGGCGCCTCCTCTAGCGTCGGCACCATGGGCGTACAGACAGCCCGGCTGCTGCGGGATGATCCCAACACTTCTTTCGCAGCCGTGTACGCCACAGCCGGATCGGCGAATATGCCTTATGTAGCTTCGCTCGGCGCGGATCGCGTGTTCGACTACAAAGACTCACATGTTGTGGATGCGATCGTCTCAGCGGCCAAGGAGGACGGGTTGGTGATCCGTCATTGTTTTCTTGCTACCGGGCAGCTTGCACTATGTCAGGCTGTGCTGAAGGCATTCCTTGAAGAAGATCAAGAAGGAAAGACGGCGAAGATCGGGTCGGCACCCGTGGTTCCTCCGGATGCGGAGGTCGTGAACGGGGTGGAGACGATATTTGTGGTGCCGTCGACGGTGGAAGAGGAGAGGCTGGAGCAGTTCCGATACTGGATTGGGACGTGGCTAAGGGAGAACCTGGCTAAGAGAAGCATCAGGCCGAGTCCGCAGCCGACCGTTGTGGGAAAGGGCTTGGGGGCTATCAATGCCGGGTTGGACAAACTGCTTCGGGGGGTGAGTTGTACGAAGTTGATTGTTGAGGTTGCGGAGTAAGAGTCTCTTGGGTGTTGACACGGGTACAGGAAGAATTGGCATAGAAAGGTACAATGTTGCATAGAAGTAGGAAGCTAACCGAAGAACACTTGTACTTATGCCCTTTAGTTTGTACAAGATTTCTGCAAAGTATGCATAGCTAAGATATTTCTAGTAAGGTTGGGGGTTTGCCTGCCTGTTGACCAGTATGTATGGAACAGTATCTGCTACAACCAACATACCTTAGCTTATATACTTGGATCTAATTTGGACTTATAATCGGTATAGGAGGGGAGTACCAGACACGCGCGACAACATCTAACTAGGGGGGGATGTGTGGTCAGATAAGCCAGTTAGAAAGAATAGTGCCGTGATCTGATATCGTTATGTAGGAACGAGACGTTGGAGACCCATTGATGAAACGAACTTGGAACTATCTGGATTGATAATTATTGATACAGAAGCGCCAGGTGTCTTGACAACAATTTCTAGCATAATAGAAATAATAGTGCAAAATAAGTTCAACAGAAGGGCTTGATCGAGATACAAGAAAGAGCAGGTGGTTGAACCGGGAGGAGTCAACTCTCTTGAGCCGAAAAGCTTCAGACACTAACTCATGCTGTTTTATTGGTAGATTTGTCATAATGATGTATCTTGTAGTGCATGTGAATGATCTACAGACCTAACCTAACCATAACTTGGAATCACTAACCTTCTTCGTGGTCCGGCCATGGGCTGTGGAGAACCCGTAAGGCTAGTAGTATAATTCTGGTGAAGAGTTGATGTTGATCACCCCCACATATTACAACATTCCCTCAGCGCAGTCCTTGCCATGACAGGTTCATGATCGAGCCATACCTGTACTGCATCATGACACATAAACACATCAGAGATATATCTGGGGCCTGTCTTCGTATAATTATTTCCATGGTTGACACCTCCTGATTCCGTGATTGACCCTCCTGTATGCTTGCTCTCTGTCCTCAAGCTCGACACGTCTAATGCAAATATTTCTCCAGTATCGCCGGATCAGAAACGATGTCTGGAATTCGCTGAAAAGCGGACCGGTAGGTGCCGTGCAATTCACCGAAGACGTCAGGAAAGAGAAAGCTGATTCCCTAGACAAAACCTTCAGATGCTAGTGGGAGTGCTGAAGAAGGACGACACTCCTCAGATCCCGAGTTCGTTGAGGATGTCGTCTCAGAGGTCTACTCCTCTGATGACATCGGTGCAATCGATGCGCGTTGCTGGAATGCGGCAATCAAATGGATATCTACTGTGATCATCTCGTCCATTGCGGCGTTGGTCTCCTTTGCAGGGGCTATTGATTCCGAGCCATCGTCAAAAATCTCATCCGAGTTCGGAATCAGCGAAGAGGCAGAGACATTGGCAACTGGTAGGTCTCTACACTGCGCAATATCATACAGGACTAATACCCGTATAGCGATGTTTCTTTTCGGGTTTGCCTTTGGAGCCCTTGTGACCGGTCCCGTCTCCGAGGCCTTTGGCCGCACCGCGGTCTACGTGACGTCTCTGATTATTTTCATCGTCTGCGCGGTGATCACAGGCTGCTCCCACAGCCTCGCTCTACAAAGCATTTTTCGCTTCTTCGTCGGCTTCTCAGGCTCCAGTCCATTGGTGTGTGCGGGGGGTTCACTGTCCGACCTATGGACAACGACAGAGCAAGTCTATGTCTTCCCCATATTCTCTATCTTATCGTTCGTGGGGTCCGCTACGGGACCATTGGTTGGAGCATACATTGCTGAAAGCGGAATATCCTGGAGATGGGTTGACTGGGTGACTGCTCTCGGCGCAGGGTTCTTTCTCGCAACAGTCGTCTTATTCTTGCCGGAGACATTCCGACCAGTTCTCTTACAGCTCAAAGAGAGGGAGATACAGCGTGTCATCCGAACCGGCAAGCACAACGCGTCGGCTGAGGAAGAACGCAAGACATCACTGGCCATGCAGGTCCTCTTCGGCATCTGGCGACCCTTCTACCTCACCGTCTACGAGCCCATCGTCATTGTCTGCGCGCTCTACCTGTCCATCATCTATGTCATCCTATTCACCTGGCTGAACGGATTCAATTACATCTTCGCAGACACATACTCTTTCACCAAGGGACAGGTGGGACTCTGCTTCGTCGCCATGTTCGTGGGCAACTGCTGCGTCATACCCTTGATTCCACTCATCTACAGACTCTACACGAAAGCCCTCCACCAGGCTCAACAACGCCACGAGTCATCCAAGGACGAAGCCGACTCCACTACCCAATCCACTAAACCCCCACCAGAAATCCATCTCTACTACGCCATGTTCGGCGCCCCCACTATCCCCCTTTCTCTCTTCTGGATGGCGTACACCACGACCCCGCATATCTCGCCCTGGGTCCCCATCGTCGGATCCCTCCCGTTCGGCTTCGGCTACACCACCGTTTTTGTCTCGTGCTATCAGTATCTGACAGACTGTTATGGAATCTGGTCTGCTTCCGCGCTGTCGAGTGTGAATTTCGTGCGGTGTCTGTCCGCTGGCGGGATGATGTTGGCTTCGATGCCGCTGTATGAGAACCTGGGGGTGAAGTGGTCGTTGACCTTGCTGGGGGCTGCGTCTGCGGTGATGGTGCCCGTGCCGTTTGCGTTTTATAAATGGGGCTATGTGATTCGGAGGAAGAGTAAGAATGCGTTGGCTTAGTAGATAGAATGGCGTTGTGGTTGGATTCATTCTTGTCGCGTGACATCTGCTTATCTGCTCTGTAATGTGTCGCTGTAGGAGGGAGGATATGTCGCGAGCACGCAGTGTTGATATCTACTAGGGTAGAGCCTTTGATACACCTAACATAGATGAACATGATTTTTATTATTGCTCCCTAACTGCTGGTGGCTGATACTTCTTGAAGATATCGGATAACTCGTGGTAATTGAGCGATTCAAAAGCTGCAGACATGCTCCTCTAGCCATCAGCGATTCTGGCTATGTCTAAATGCAGAACTATAAAGGCCGTCTATTTACGTCCCTTGACCTTGTCTCCGGCCACGCCGATCAAGTTTCCATACTTCAGCGTATCAATCGTCGCGGTGTACTGCTCCGCCGAAGGCGATGCCGTGAGAATCATTGCCGAAACCCCGTCATCTCCTTCACCGGTCAGGAAATGCTGACGCAGGACCATGGTCAGCGGCGACGACCGAAAGGGGATGCGTCTCTGCTTCTGGGCCATCGCCCGAATGACCTCCTTCAAGGAAAGGAGATCGGTATTGATCTGCCTCCCTTCCTGCTGCTCCTGGGGCGTCTGCTTCGCTCGAATTGTCGAAACAGAGCCCTTGTCGTGGTAGTACTCTGAGCCAGCCAAGTCCACAAAGACTAGCTTTCCACCCAGACAGGCATGGGGACATGATCGTTTGATTGCCTCCACATGTTCCTCAGCTTTCTGGACATACGACTCGAACTCCGCCTTCTTCGCCTCGGCTTCATCAATCGCCGCCTGATTGATCTGGTAGTCCGGATTCGGCGCAAACTTGCCATCCGGCGTCTGGATAAACCCCTTGGAATTCTCCTCGAGGTAGATATCAGTCGCGCGCTTCCCAACAGGAACAAGCTCCGACTGCCGCTCCACAACCGCGTCCCTCGCGTCCAGGAGCTCCCGCGTGACGATCTCGACCTCGAAAACAGCATGCGTCCGGGAACTCTGATCGTGCACCGTCGACGTCCCCGTCGCCCTGCGCCCAATCCCCGCCAGCAATTGGGCGTGGAACTCGCCAAAGGTCGAACAGGCCTTTGTGACGATCGGTCGCACGCGGACTTTTCCGTCGGCGAGCGTTTCCGTCTCGCCGCGGATGTGCGTTTTGCCGTCCTGTCCTTCGCGGATGTGGCATTTGCATCTGTCGTTTAGGAGGTCGAAGGCGGTGTTCTTCCTGAGCTCATACATGCGCAGTCCGAGAAGGAATTTCTCGTTTTCATTCGCGCCTGCATTCAACTGGTCGATATGCTCGTAGAGCGCCCTTGCGGCCGATAGGCACAGCCCGAACTCGTCGGGATGCTCGAAATCATACCCGATGATGGTGTGCGACTTGCCGCTCCCTGAGTGTCCGTAGGCGAAGAAGTTGCAGGATTGCCCGTTTAGGACCCGGGGGAGGGTCGGTGCGACCACGGCCTCGAAGACGGCTTTGTTGTTGTCATTTGTGGTGAAGATGCGGGTAAAGGCCGAGTCGCTTTTCCAGGGGCGGGACAGTTTGTGCGTTGGCGGTGGGGTGAGTGAGAGCGCGGAGGTGTTGTTGGTGGGATGCGCGTGCTGTGTTCGCGTGATTTCTGGGGTGTTGGCCTCAGATGGCGAGAGAGGACGCCAGCGGATGAACACACTGATTGATGGCATGGCTTGTTATCCAATTGTTGGCTATTGATCTCTATTGAAACGGAGCACACTGCATTTAAGTCCAAACATTGAAAACGGCCCCCAAACTAAGGAGCAGGCACCAGCACCATGTCTCGGGCAGGTCTTATTGACCGCTAATCCACCTTGATGGTCTCTAATTTTGCAGGATCTCCATTATCGACGTTAGCGACTACCGAGTCATGCTAATTATCTGAATTTCCCAGCGAATGAGAATGTCTCAGCCTTGAATTACCCTTTACGGTTATTCCCTGTGGCCGCTCAGACAGTGTTGGTGCCTAAGGCAACAAACATAGTTGCAACAGTGGAGCCTGCCTCAGGCATCGCTTCTGCGATCGCCGATGTTGTGTTGGAGCCAACCAGCATTGACTCCAAGTGGCCTCAGCTCAGAAGTGATGGCAAATGACTGTGATGATAAATGACTCTCTTCATGAGCAAAAATGATGATCGGTATGTCGGAGTCTTACTTCCGACCTCCTTGACAAAATCGTCATAGCCGTTTGCGTAGCCCAGCCCTAACTCCGTTATTTCCGCCGGTCTTTGAAAGAAAACGAGCAGTAGCAGACGAACAGCTATTGTGCGGACCAACTCAGACAACTTCTTGAAGCTATCGGTTTCGATATTCTTCCGTCGGCTTTACATTCTCCCATCTCGATTATCTCCGCGAGTCGAACCGGTTCCCGAACGCCGTTTGTACTCCGTTCTGAAGATATAAACTGGACGGCTCGGCCGTCAAGGTGATCCCCAGAAACCAAAAGCAAATCTCAAAACAAGCTGTTTAAAATCATTGCATCCATTGCTGTGACTTGACCAACATGACTCAAAAGTACGCCAAAGACCAGCCCGCCGGCTTCACCAACCGCATCGAACGCGTCGCCATCGTGGGCGTAAGTCTGTCTCATCCTCACTCCAAGGCCCTCACTAACAATGACACCAGGCCGGCGGCACCGTGGGCAAATACATTACCCAAGAACTTCTCCAGACAGGCCAACACACCGTAACCGCGCTTACACGCGCAGGTAGCAAGAACACCCTTCCCGCGGGCGTCCGCACCGTCATCGTCGACTATGACGATGAGTCTACTCTGGTTGCAGCGCTGCAAAACCAACAGTTCCTCATTATTACAATGAGCGTCACTGCGCCAAAGGACACCCAGAGCAAGCTTATCCAGGCCGCTGCGAAAGCCGGCGTGCCGTATGTGATGCCAAACTGCTACGGCGTGGATATCACCAATGAGAAACTGCGGAAGGAATCGCTGACCGGGGAGCCGGTGAAGCAGGCTTGTGCCGAGATTGAAGCGACAGGTGTTTCGGCCTGGGTGGCGCTGGTTTGTAGCTTCTGGTACGAGTTTAGTTTGGTCACTGGGCCGGAGTGGTTCGGGTTTGACTTCAAGGAGAAGAAGGTTACGTTTTATGATGATGGAACCACCAAGATCAACGTGAGTACGTGGGAGCAGTGTGGACGGGCTGTGGCGGCTTTCTTGAAGTTCAAGGAGTTGCCGGAGGATGAGAATGATAAGAGCCCGACGGTGAGCGGCTGGGCTAACAAGCCACTGTTTATCTCGAGCTTCCTGGTTAGCCAGAAGGATATGTTTGAGAGCTGGAAGAGGGTTGCGGGGGACAAGGATGAGGATTGGACGATTGAGTATGAACCCAGCGCTGAGCGGTATCAGCGGGGCATTGAGAGGATGCAAAAGGGTGACCGCAGGGGCTTTGCACAGGCCATGTATGCGCGGGCCTTCTATCCGAATGGGGGTGGAGACTATGAGAGCAGTCGGGCGCTGGATAATGCCGTGCTTGGACTGCCTAAGGAGGATCTCGATGAGCGGACCAAACATGCCAAGGAGATGTTCGAGAGCGGCTATTCTTACTTTTAATCTTCTCTGTTGACTGATGAGGGAGTTGTATAATGTCGAGCCGTTGTTTTATGATATATATTATGGTCAATGCTATTATCCTGTCAAGGCTGTGCATATTGGACTAGAAAGTATCCATGTCGCCCGAATCTTGAATAGTGACATAGTAGCAGGAAGATGCCTGGCGCGAAAGAACGGCCATGTTTGCATCAGATGCTCGTCACCGTTGTTATCGCGTAGCGCAAACGTGTCGTAGAAAAGAGGCGATTTGGAGAAGTCCAGAGAACACGCTGTGGTGTAGTCTCGCTGGTTCGTATATGCCCTATCCAGGTAAGCCTGCCGCAGCTGAGATCTAGGCAGCATACTGACAAGGTGGAACATCTCCTATAGAAGAACAGTAAAAACCAACTGTAATGAGTCCCCCACTAGCCTGTAGAAAATCCCTGTCTGAATTGAGGCTATGCTTATTTTAAATGAGAATGACTAGGGTTATCTGGTCCCTGATTCAGTTATTAGGTGGGTCGATGTATTAGGCAATCAAGGGAAGTAATGTAACCTAAGCCTAAAGCTCAGCAAACGCCGAAAAATCATTGGTCATTAGACAGACACGATCCCCTATGGGGTACGCTAGCTGCCTGTCATATTACATTCGCGCGTGCTCCTTGTTGTATAGGTGGAGCTTCACCAGGGTCTTTTGGGACACGCACTACCACTCAATGCCACACTTGACAGCTCAGAATGGGGAGAGTGACCAAAACGACAGAATTTATCCGTAAGCATCAGCGGCGTGTTTGATCCAAATACTATTTGGAAGGTTGGAACAGGATGACTGTTGAGGACTTGAATAGAAACTTCCCGACCAGAATAAGATCCGTAGAGAAAGTAAAGCAGTGAAGAATACTTGACCACTAAGTGCTCATCAAGCTCTCCTTGCAGACCTCTTCGGATCCTGGAGTCTGGCCAGCTCAAGCAAAACTCGATACATATAGATAGTCAGATCCTCTTTACGAAAGGCCTTTGAGAACCATTCCCGCCCCTCCTCCGCAATCTCCCGGGCTCGTTTCTGCCCAGCCTCAGAGGTGAAATACATAACTATTTCAGGTAGCTCCTCCATGCTCTGGCTGACAGGAATGTAATGAACCCACGGCATCAGACGGTCGTCGTGCCATTCTCGCAGCAGTGTCTGTTTGAGTGGCGCAGACTTTGATGCAAGGAGTTTGTAGTACCGGCCACTGATACCATTGCCGTCAATGTCAAACACCAGACGCGAATGCAAGGCTTCGTCCTTGTCGGCCCATGATTTGGTTCGAAAGAGGGCTTGTTGGTCTCGGCAATAGCGTGTCTCGCATTGGAAGATTCGGGTAAAGGCAACGTCGAATAATCTGCTGTTGAGGAAGGATGATTTCACTAAGCTGACCACGCCTTTGCCTTCCCGAAGATAAACATGGGGTCCGTTTCCCAGGTTCTGTGTCAGCTTGACAAATCGCTGTCGGTGGAAGCTTTGCCAGTCATCGTTTACCGCAAAGCCACCGGTGGTTGAGCCAGCCCAGTAAAGATTGTTGTGTTTGGAGTCCCAGCTGATGTCCTTGGCCTGTACATATTCAAATTCCGGCTCAAGATAGGCAGGGCTAGGATACAGAATATCGCCCATGGTTGATAGGGAGCCGGTGGACAGTATAGGAACCAGGCCTTCGACCAACGGGAATGATGTAGGACTGATCAAGAGTCCGTGTGATACACGGTACTCGGGATGGCTGCAAAGGTCTATTGTCGAGCGACGGTCAGTCACAAACGGGAGACCAAAAGTTTGAACCTTCGGCCTGTCGGCCTTTTTGCTGCCCTGTGAAGGACAGGAGTTGACCAATGTATCCCAGACAGGCCTCTTGGAATAGCTTGTCATGTGGAGTGATCCAGACCTCTCAGAGGTTGACGGTAATAGAACCCTGGGTTCGTCAAGGTGATTGACAAGAAATTTGACATCCGGTAGAAGGCCGCGCAGATCTCCCAGTACCGTGTTAAGAAATCCTTGGATATTTCTATCGACGCTGCGGTGAGGATGGTTGCAATTCGTTCTGGCTTCCTCAGCCGAAAACGTACAAACCCATACATCACTGTTCGGCGTATGTTGTAAACGGTCGATGGCTTCAGTCACCTCGGTCCCACTGATACTCCAGAATGGGGAGATTCTATCATAAATGATGTCGAAGTCATCGATGACCGGTGATTGATGTGCTTTGGCGAAATTATACCAATTTTCAAAGCCTGGAGGTGGTTCCATGCCGTAGCGGCGGCGATATTCCTCACAGGCAGCGGTATAACTATTTGACTGTCTTTCCAGCAAGGCTTGGAAATTGGCCTTGGCATCTTGAATGAGTAGGCCGATCGAATGCGTGGGGCTCTGTATCACGGAGGTATTTGCAACGTGGATGGAGTAATTGTTGATCAGGTATGGGACTAAATAGACGACAATGCATATCCAGAGGGCAGATTTGGATTTGGCCTTATCCGGTAGAAGGGAGATAATTTGCCCTAGGGCAAATAATGATGCGATAAGATGGGACAATGCCTGAATATTCGAGGTCAAGGTGAATGGATTCCTGCTGGCCACAATGCTAAATGTCCCTATGGCCGCAGTCACTGACCAGGAACAATGCTCAGCCTGACACTAGTGAGCATTGGCAATAGAATAGCCGTGAGAGAACATACTGTCTGCAGGAGGAAATACCACATCAACGATTTAGCAACACCTAGCGAGATGGTGCCCACAACGGTGGTCTTTGGGGGCCCGAACACCGCAATTTCCACGCCGAGTACAACCAACTGAGTGACGACCACACGGAATGACAGCGGTCGTATGATATGCCCAGTAGCAATGGGTCTACGGTGTGAAGCGCGCTTGCCAGACTCGGGCGGCCGCGTCAAACCGAGGTAAACGACCAGCAGTCCTACCACTGGAATCCCCGACAGCGCACTGGCTCGGAGATCCCAGCTGGTCAGTGCAATTATACAGAGCACAGCAATAAAAGCCGTGACCCAGACTCTGTCTTGGTCTGACGCAGATCTCACCCCCGTTTGAATCCCACCTTGTTCGATGTACGTTTGTACTGCAGCCAACAATGGACTCAATGCTGGCTGTAAGATCAATCCGAAGTTAGTTTCGGAGCCTTCGTCCTTTCAGGAAGGGGTCAGTGACTTACAAAGAAAGCAATTATTCCATACTCTGCTTGATAGACAGAAGCCGAAGACACTGCCAGAGCAACTGCCCACAAGGATGCACCGGATGCAGGTGTCTGCTCTACTGGTCCTGGTAATGTTGCCCTTGAGCCGCTGCGAGCCCTTGAACTTCCCCAATAATGGTGGATGGCCGGCAGAATTGTCCAAGAAAGAGCCTCGGACAAGAGTTCACTCTGCTTTGTGGACAAATGTTGCTTCAAGAGGCTGCTTGATATCGCGGCACCTGTTAACTTGGTGATAGGATCAATGTGCGCAAATGGCGATTTCCACATCCTCATAGTCTTAGAGAGCTGTTGCGTAGCTCTTACTTACGACCATCATGGTCATTACAGGCAGCAGCCGTGACAACTCAAGAGAAACACTGAGGTTGAGATAATCCAGCATGCTGACAAGGAATACCCTCGGTCCATTATTTCCACGCAACAGGGTCCAACAACAGCTGCTTGGGCCTCTTGTTGTCTCACAATCCAAAGCGGTTATAGCCGCTATGGCCAGTTCCTTTCAAGCCACTGACGGTCCGTCCTGTTAGCGTCCGTGGCAATCATCGGTTCATCATTCCGGTTGGCCTTTGAGAGTGGAGCTGGAGGTGGCCGGATAGCTTTTCATATCAGGCTTCCATAAGGTACCGGTGCTTACAGGGATCACTTCTATCGACCTGCAATGGACTGGTACTTCTGGCAGAAACAATCCTTTCGACAGCATTGTCGGATGTGAGACGGAGGTGTAGGCTAAGACCATCCCTCTGTAGGGAGTAGTAGGTGTTCTGATTGATGCACAGAAAATATCTCTCATCTCTGCTTTGATGACCCTGTCAAGGTACCCAACTGGCAGTTAGAGATACTCAGGAAGGTGAGACACCGGTGCTTTCTTTTTCGAAGGGACTGGTTCGCAATCGCCGCCGTGGAAACACTAGTAAATGCTACCTCTTGGCACTCAGGGACTAGAGTCAGACCTCCGCTGTGATTATGGAGTATCAAGCCATGCCAAGCCATGTTAATGGAGATCCCTGCTATATATCAGAATAGGTCATTGATCCGCTCAGCCTCGGTTGGACAATGATCGGAACAATGCGAGTACATGAATTCCGTGAAACAAATCTGTGTGTACCATCGCAATGAAATACACAATGCTGAAGAGTGACCTTTCTCAGAGACAACTACTTCGCGACAACTGCTGTATGCAAGAGGCATAAACCCTGAAGACCCAGGGCTACACAAGAAGGAGACATAGGAAAAGCGCCACACCGGACGGGCAACAGCTGCAGATTGTGGACATTACGGCGGAGTCATGTTCTGTGTCAGATCTCTGTGGACAAGTGCGAGTTACTGAGTGAATGCTGTCAGACCACCATCTACAGAGGTCGAGATGTGATGCCTGTTAGAATGTGTCATTGAAACTGCCTGATATAGGTACATCTGTGTCTTATAAGGCACCTTGAGGGCTCCGAGATGCCAAGGGAAGAAAGCCGGGCGCTCCGGGGCCAAAGAGCAATATACATAAAGATTTCATTGAAAGTTCACTATTGACTTGGATAAGAACCCCTGTGAATGCATTTCTGGACTCCTCATATGGGCTGGCTATCTGACCAATAGGATAAATGATTCATTGCTTTCTTGTTGGCCCTGATCCTTCAGTCATAGTGGATGGGATATGCAGAGAACAATGCTAATCCTCTACAGAGGTACAAATGAAGTTTAAGAGACTTTTCCTGGCTTTCGTTGCGACTCACAGCGAACCTCACAAGCTGCCTGTCGGATGAGTTTGAACGAGTCTTCGCCTGTTAACGCCAGAGTGAAGGGGCTCTGAGAGATCTGAAGAACCGCCATATTGGCCACGAGAGGGACCATACCAGCAGAATGACTGCATGTATATGCATACATAGACAAACCCCCTCATTTAAGGCGTTTGCTGGGGGGGACCAATGATGACTGGTATATCCAACAGTATACAAGGGCTTGATTCGAATCAATTCAGCATGCAGAGCTGACTGCAGCGAATCTTTCATGATTTCACCGTCGGAGAGACGGACTATGATATCGCATTGTTGCATCTGACGATGAATATCACCGAGCTCAAGCAAGTTCATGACTGACAGGCGAACTGAAGCCCAACATGCCACTCACCGTGAAGTATAAAACCCCCTCAGGTGCTACTGATATCGATTCTTCTTCCCATCAATTCAAACCAAACAACCACAATCAAACTTCCAGAAGCTCTTCAACTCATTCCAGCATCAAGATGCAGTTCTCCTCAATTGTTACCGTTGCCATTGCCGCCCTCCTGGCCGCTCCCTCTCTGGCCTGCAAATGCTACGTGAACGGCAATCGTGACGACGGACGTACCCGTTCATGCTGTGACCAGCTCCGCGGCGTCTTCCGCTTTGGAAATGATTGCCAGGCGGGATCCATCTCTGAGCACCTCTCCAACTTTCGCAGATGCTGCGGCGGGTCGTCCGATTGCGACTATCCCGGTCTGGCCTTGGAGGAGACCGAAGTGGATTATATCAAGACCATCGTCGCTCTTCCTACTGGCGTGGCGTCCAACTAGACTCTCCTCAGCTTACTGATGGCCAAGTTTACTCTCGAGATGTGTTGTGACATGAACGGTAATTGACGACCACTTGTTCCTGGGCCTCAGAACAAATGGTGTGCCCCGATTCTGCTCGAGATGATTGTTGCCTTAAAGGGATTGATGTTCGAAAGGACGAAGTGCGGGGAATGTGTCAAGTAGAGGACTGCACGGATTTATACATGTTAGTCACTCTTTTCTGACATCGCGTTTACGTCGATATGTCAGTTTCAATGCACATGTATGTAAACAGATCTCATTCGCTTGGTACATGAAATGAAAGGAATCAATGGACCTTGCAGACAGAGGATGTTCATCACTTGAGTATACACGCCTCCTTTCCCTTTGCTCCTTTCCCCTACTTCTGCAACCCATTGAGCCTATGGCATATAATATATGAAGCTATAGCCTTTATCTCTGTGGACTTGATTCTGAAGTATGATTCGTTCCCTACATATTGGTCATATATATCCAAAAGGACGACTCTCACCACAGTAGCCATTCATGTTTGTGAAGGACTCTATAGTTGGCGGAACCGATTTTTCCACGCCAAATGCAATGCTGGGTTACAATATCAGTTGATAGAAGCATTGCTCAGGAATAAAGCCTACCAGCTATCAATTAATCACTCCCAAAGGCCCCATTGAGGCTAACTGTGAGCAAATTCTCCCAAATAATCTCCTATTTTCTCACAAGCAGCTCCTGCAATCCCAGTTAGCAGGTACATATCTCCCCGACTGGAATCACCGGCTAACCAGGCGGCCGTGCCTCTATATAGGCCCGCTGCATGTTTCATGAATGGTGCGATTCAAGAGATGTTTCCACTAGCGTGCTGGCCGTAAACCTTCATATTAGACAGCCAGCGCCGTTGGGAGCCGATGATAGAATGACTACATCTGTCTGAACCTTCTGACCAATTGCTACGCCAGACGGTGTGTAGAGTACACAAAAGGTAAGCCTTCAGCATGTTGCGGCTGGTTATAGTCACAGTGTGATTCTATTGCCATTATTGCCCATAAGACATCAATATAAAACCAACTTCGGAAATATTTTCTGCAACTCTACAGGCAGAGGACAGGGTGAAAGCTCCGCTTAGATGTAGATGGACAATGTATTGGCTGTTGCATGCGAATAGAACTGGCATAAAAGTCTTCTTCATTGCATGCTCTCTTCCGATTCCATGCTCTCATCTGATTCTGAATCCAAGCCCTCTTCTGATTCGACGCCCTCTTCCACACGCATGCACTCTTCCAAATCCACCACTTTGGATACGATAGCCAGTGAGGACAATTGCATCCATTTCTGGAGCGGTATCAGAATTCATATGCAGGAGACTCTACAAGCTCCTTGTAGTAACACCATTCCTTATGTTCCCTTTGGTGCTTAGCGCACCTGTCCAAGGCGGAAAGACAAATGTCTAACATGAAGTTGGGAACCATTTCCAAAAGGGCGCCGTCCAATATGGGATTCTCGTTAGCCCGCAGAAGCAGAAGGTTATCCGTGGTCATCTGGACCACAAGGTCCCTGAGTCCTCGGTCAGAGCCTCCTGTTGAGTCGTACACTTCACGAACGGCAGAGTTGAATGACTCTCGGTCAGGGAATTTCATGAAGGACGTCTTGAAGTACTCCTTCGCCCTGATTTTCAACCCGTCTATTTGAAAATAGGCACCTTGTGCGTACATTTGGGCGTGGAAAAAGGCCTGACCAATTCGTGGGTTTGCACTGCTGGTATTCCCTTGTGAGTGTGAGAATACTTCTGTCCCTGCATCTGCCTGGAGATCTGTAGCTAGGTCCGTTTGTGGAAAATTCAAGTCGCCCCTTGCTTCATAAGTGTAGTCGCCTGTGTACAAAAATTCAAGCATCTTCCTGATGAGCATAGGGTCTCCATCGTCGAGCCTTATCTCTCCGTTACCTTCCTGTCAATGCACCATCCAGTCAGTAATGGTTGTAGTGGGTATATAATATACAACGTAGGGAAAAAACTAGGTATATACCTTAAATCGACCATCACAGGCGATTTCAAAGTACGTTGATTGAGGACAGACAATGTTCCGGTGAGCTGGGAAGACTTCATCACCACATATGACACATAAATCGCTATACTTCGGATTGAGGAATTGGCTAAGACAGGAGTCAGCAACTCATTACAGAAACGTTGAAAGGCCATTTAGCTCACACACCTGAGGACAAGCTCTTTCATTTTTGCAGTAATCTCCTCGCCTGCAACAACCGTATCAACGGGCTCAACAGCTGGATCAATAGCTGGATCAATAGCTGGATCAATAGCTGGATCAATAGCTGGATCAATAGCTGGATCAATAGCTGGATCAATAGCTGGATCAATAGCTGGATCAATAGCTGGATCAATAGCTGGATCAATAGCTGGATCAATAGCTGCAACGGTTTGATTAGCAGATAGTCTTGAATAAGCCGGCTTTCCTTTCTTCTTTCCTGCCATTGGAACCTCGAGAGCCCTTCACTGCGGAAAAGTAGATTAATCAGAGATAAAATATTAGGATCAGCGGGGGCATGTATTTGGGATTTCGTGTTATCTCTACTTATGTCACAAGACATGTGGAAATGCCAGCAGCTGTAATGGCTGTCTAGTACCGGTTTGCTTCTAGCAATCCCTTAGTAAAAGGTGCTCTGTATGGTGTGATGGCCGTGCAGATGCTTGTCTGACGTGGCGATCTCAACCTCGATTGGCAAACACACGTAAATAGTTATCTTCGTGCGTATTTCCAAATCTTCTCTAGTCCAACTGTAGTTAATGAATGTATGGCTCTTCACTGATTCATTAAGCAACGCTGGATGTTATTGAGATTAGTTAGCACTTTACTACTAGCACTGAGACCGGGCGCCTATGACTGTGAAGCCTGAGTTTGGTAATGCCTCATGCGCTGAGAGCAGCACTCAGGATATAGCGAGCAAGGGCAGAGAAAATTTCCTGGGGATTGCCGGGCAGAACAGCGTTGGTAAGTTGGACCGCATCATGCTTGTTCCCCTGGTCTCTAAGATGTTTTGGGTCACGCACGAGGACTGCAGTGTACCCTGTTTGTGATGATTGGTAGCTGTATAATATCTCAAAGGTAGATTGACCCGCAATGTGACTAAGTCGTGAATATCAATTTAGATCCCAGTAGTGTTTATTCATTCTGTCCTATGGGTTTACCAGTCGTCTTGATACCCATCTACTACGTTAGCTATAAAGAATACAGATTGAGCACCGGTAGGAATAATAAAGAAAATACGTAGATTGCTCAAATTATTTAGCTAAACAGTACTAAACTCTGATATTGCAGATTCCTTATTAGTTATGGGTGGACACAATGCTCAAACTGCCATAGATCAAGCAACTGCAGCTTGTGAGACTTTATCAAGGTATATATATTCTTATTATGGTATACAACATACCTGTTCCTACACCCTGGGTTCAGTCACATGGACTTAGGCTCATGCTCCCCACTCAGATAATGTGCCCAAACCATCACCACTAGACTAAATACCATGAAATCAACACCTCCAAGAATAGCAACGTGGATGTACAGGCTATGATGAGGCTAAAATTTATCCTTATGACGTAGTACAAGTAGTCTAAGGCAAAAGGGTAGGATCAAGGTAGCCTGCATATTACTGATAGAAGGCAAGGGGTCAGCGTATGAATTCATCTAACCAACCAACCTCTCTAAACTGAAAGTTTATTGGATATTGACCTTCTCTGCTTGGTAATCAACCATCACCGTAAGCCGTCTATCCCACTCCTCTTCAGCCTAGTTATTGGTGAAGCGAAACTCCCATATCCTTGGCTTCCCGCAGGCAACGCTCGCAGTTACAAGAAAATCTAAAAAGATTACGAGTCAACCTCTGCCTATCTTCAAGATCAACATGTTCTGCTAGATCGAAGTAAGCAATCGAGCACTCCTCGTTGGCAGCAATATCCCGGTTCGCAATAGCAATGATTCGTCCGTGATCATCCACCACACGTTTGAGCTAGCTTCTTTAAGCATCTTGGGTTTTCTGCGGCTGCAGGAGTACTTACATTTGGAATACAGGAATGGCTGACGATTGCCGCTCTGGGATAACCGCCAAGTCCGTAATGAGGGCCACGCCGTACCTGGGGACTAGGGGGTATAGCCCCCGTCACTCCCGGGTGAAGGCCAAAGAAGTTAAGCTCTTCTTTGCAAATCAGAGTCAGCAGCTCGTCAGCCGGCGGAAAAGCTGGCTGGTGGTTGAAGTAGGCTCGGATCAAGTACTTCCAGTGCTGAATTTTAGAGTCTGGCCATAAATCGCGATTCGAGCAAAGATCATCGATTGCTTGCCATCCACGCTTGAACCGATCGTCCCAGGGATACCGTTGGCGAGGCTTGCAACTGGAGTCCACCTCCAACTGCCGCCCGGCAAGCAACCGCACGACGATCCAAAGCATAGTAAAGTCATATTCGCCTTCTTTTTGACGAAGCACTGCTCCGTGCTCTTTTAACCATGCGCACTCGAAATCATGACGTGCCTGGTCCCTGCTGCGGCAATTCGGATTGCACCAGACAACCTCTCGGATGCAACTGTTTGGGCAACTGACATACTGGGTATCCTGTGGAACTCGCCGGCGGCACATTAGATTACTGCACAGCAGGGCGTCCTTGCTCGCAGGGTCGATGGCGGGTACCAGGGCGTACGGCGCATCTGCAAAAACTATCGTGCCTGCTGGAACAGGCGCAGACACTCGCAAAATCCTACCTTTGTGCGGATCAAAGCTCGGAAACAGATGAGGATGGATGAAAGTGTCTGCATCCTGAGGATCGAGGGTCTCATTCGGTAGCAGCTGCGGCTTCTGTGCAATCACCAACTGTCTGTGCTCCATCATGCCAAGGTCCGCGGGCCCTTCACGCTTTGTGCCAGTGATGACCGCACAATCCTGGTCCTGCATGGACAACCCTGCCGTCGCAAGAAGCTCTTCCATCTCGGCTAGGCTGTATAGCTGGACGGAGTAAAAGAGATCCTGATGCACAGTGGGGCCTGCAAGGTCAATGATGATCTCTCGACTGGCTAGATGTTTGTTATCCGGAGACAGCTCTGGTTCGCGGAGCGCCACCAGCTTTTTATGGGCAGTGGTTGGTGATACCGGACCACCATCAAGCCATTCCCACCCGCTTGGAGAGAAGTTAGACCTCATCCACTCCCCATCCACGTAGTCCATCACGAAAATCCCTCCAGGTTTTAAGACGCGATGAACCTCGTTTAGAATATGCTGATTATCCTCACTGCGACCATAACCGAAGGAGTTCCCCATTATGAGCACGACGTCGAAGCCGTCGTTTGAAGTAGGGATACTGCGGGCGTCCCCCAGCTCAAACTTGGTGTTGCTGTCGACTTTTTCTGCTTTCGCCCGTTGCTGGGCTATGTTGACAAGATATCTGCTTTGGTCGATTCCGTGGAACTGGACTGACGGGAATCGTTTCGCGAGGCAGATGCTATGCCGGCCCTGTCCACAGCAGAGGTCCAGGACTTTTGTAGAAGACGTGGAGGTTGAGCCTTGGAGGAGCTCCCAGATCTTCGCGATGCAAACCAAAGAATCACATTCGGCTTCGGTTATGGCAGGGACTTCGACGCAGTCTCCATTAGACCAGAGATAGGTCTCATCATGAGAGTCTTTCCACCAGTCCTCCTTAATGTGGGCAAATAAGGAGCTGACCCGACCAAGCTGGATGGGAGTGCTCATGTTGCGATTTGTCCTTTTGTGTACAGTAGTGTTTGGAAGGTTTAAAACAGTCGCGGTTGGATAAAGTGGCAGTAGCCATCACATCATTAAATATCTCCTGCTTGTCCGTCTGCGTCTCATAAGTGGAAAAATCGGTGATCTCTGTAGCCAAGGAGATCGGAATGCAGAAAATACCTCACCAGCTGCAGGTGCATATCATCACGACCGATAATTGGTAGATTTTCCGTATTAGTTCATACATGGGCTCTGTGTGCGAGTATCTAATGCAGCTCATCTACAGTACCCCTCTACCCCTCCTTTGTCAAGTTCGAGCCACCAATGATGTTCTTATGTTTCTCACGAGATTGCCTCTAGAATCCTTGTATTTAGTATCGTATGGAGTTAGTACTCTGCAGTAAGGGCGTTAACTTCTGCAGCACGTTCTAGTGTGAGCGGCCCGAGCCACGCAAGCGATTTGCTCTTGGCTTCCAGTTTGTCAGCGCATGTGAGCATGTCCCTGTCCCCGTGCGTTTTATATCTGCCTCGCAAATTCCGACCTCAGCAAGCACAGTGAAGACGGCGTGATAAACCAACATGGCTGACCCAGCGACGAGATCCGTCAACGGACCACATTGGCGTGTCCTGGCAGTTGTCTGCACCATGATGTGGGGTGTCTACTTCAGTATGGTAAACCCAAGCAGGCTGGCTGGGCTCTTCTCGTGCTAATACAAGTGAACCATGTGGTCTATGATCTGCCCGCATCTTTGTCCGTCGCGCTGTCAAAGCATCTTTCGCTTTCCGGACCCCACTACGCTTACCTGCTGTCAACCCTCTATACCGTCTATGCGGTCCCGAATTGCATTCTGCCTTTCTTCTCGGGACCGGCCGTGCAGCGGTATGGAGAGAGGGCAGTTCTTCTAATCACTGTCACTAGTGTGATTGCCGGACAATTGCTCTTTGCTCTTGCAGTCCAGATCCGGTCTCCGCTGGGGCTGATCCTTGGACGTGTCTTGATCGGGTTGGGCGGAGAGGTCATTGGCGTGTTGGCAAGCGAAATCATCACCCGCTGGTTCAAGTACATTTGCCTCCCTCACGGTCATTATTTGTTGACCTCTGTGCTAAGTTTCTGTCGATTCTCTCCGTTCGTTTCCACAGGGATAAGCAGTTATCCTTGGCTCTAGGTTTGAATCTAGGCGTATCCCGACTAGGGAGTGTCGCTGGCTCGGCCTTCATCCCTATGATAATCGAGAGTTCCAGTGTAGTATCAGCAACTTGGATCGGAACGCTATTATCACTAGGCGCCATTGCTATCAGTGTCGCCAGTCTTCACGCCCTCACGAATGCCGTATCCGGACAGACAACCGCTCCAGATACCGGCTCCTCTGTGGTTCCCCTGCGCCAGCTTCCTCGCATATACTGGCATCTGAGTCTCATCTGCGTCCTGGGATACGGAGGCATCAACACCTTCACCAATTCCGCGCAGCGTTTTCTGGCAGCATGGTTCTATCACGGTGATCAACGAGCGGCGGGGCTCGCGACCAGGTAATCAACGTACCTTGTGATAAAAGAAATCCCCAAAACTGACCCGGGATCTGCATTCAGTATCCCATACGCCCTTTCAGGAGTGCTCGTCCCCGTATTCGGCCTCTTACTGGACTTGCCGTGGTTCCGAAGCTGTCCCCGCGCCTTGATCGCCTCCAACTTCCTGCTGGCACTAGCCCACCTCCAGTTCATTTCGCGGGTCATGCCGATCATGCCACTGTGTCTGCTTGGCATCGCCTTTGCGCTCTACGGCGTCGCTTTCTGGGCCGCGGTCGCACAGTCCCTTGTGTTCGCCGTCCAGTCATGGCCGAGTCAGAATTCAAACAATAGCGATAGCTCGCGAGAGTTTGCTCGTGAGGGTGGGTACGAATCTATTCGATCGTCGACCGACAGCGAAGACACGCAAGGGGAATCGTCTGACCTTGCAGACAGTATCCATGAAGACCATGAAAAGGCCATCATGACGCTTGGGTTTGGGATCATGACCAGCTTACTCAATGCGAGTACGGCTGTAGTACCTATTCTGCTCGCTGAAACGGAAGAAAGGGCGGGCTTCGATGGGCTAGAACGTGTTTTTCTGGCGCTGGCTGTGCTGGGACACCTTGCATCTGTGCGGTTAGCTTGGATATGGAAGATTTGATAGGTAGTTTCTCTTTTCATCAACCAGTTTAAGATATGGGAGGGCCTTGGAGATCCCTCTTGATTCTGAGTCCATCATGAACCAGACCACGGTGATCTGCTTTCTAAATAGAATTAACACTAAGAGTGTTATGCCTTTCATTATTGCGGTGATTACTCACACAGGCGATACTGTATTTATAGAATAGTAGTATGTTTATAAAAAAATCCTACACAAGACAAGAGTGCTAGTAGTATCTCTAGTTGAGAGTAAGGTTATCAGGGTTGGTACTAATGTATGTAAACAAGCAACATCCATCTGTACTCGTGTCCCAAGCGGGAAATACAAACAACACGGCACGTGTGCCGTCAGGCCCCAAGGTAACTAGTTACTCTACAATATATTTCAGATTCTGTGTTCCGAGCTCTCATCGCAGCTTTCACCTTCCATCAACCCCTCATCCAAGCCTTTTCTTGATTTCTCGCCATCTCGAATGATCAACAGTTAGATCCACATGCAGAACAGGGGCGGATAGAAAAGGGGGATAAGCTTTATTAAATCTGGTTAGATCGAAGCTATTCTTAAAGAGGTTTAGCTGTCGCCGAAAATACCAACTTTTATAACCTCTAATTTTAATCTTTTATCCTGCATCATAAAACGATGTCGGGGGTATTTTAAGTATGAAATCCGGTAAAGGAGCCTTTAAATAACGGGTAAGCATGATATTAACCGCCTGCAACCGCCCAGTGGCTCTAGTTCGAGACGTGATTTTCGCGGTAGACTTAAAAAATGTCTGTTCATTCAATTGCTCCTCACACTGGCAATAGATTGTTCAAGCAGGGGCTCTGTACTAGGATCGGGGAGGCTTCCCATCATGGCCTCGCCGTCGTCGTCGAACATCAGCCCTGACCAACTCTTGTGAGGTAGGACGCATAAAAATTCGAGACATCGGCTTGTCGGAAAAAGAAGAGTAAACAATTCGGCCTGCTATAGTATTTTTGTCCATAGCAAGCCCGAGCCTTTTAGCCAACCTCGTGGAAAAGTTGACTTTCCTTGAACTCGGCCAATGTAAAGGTTGGATACAAAACAAAAGCGTCTCCTCGTATAGCTGGTCCAAAGGCTTTTCATAGTTTACTTCTATGTGAGACATTGGACGGTCCGAAGCAATGCCCATGAATGCATATATGAAGTCATGAGCACGAGTGCATTGTAACTTGTTCTCTTGGGGAATACCCAAACAGTCCAACAGTGTATAACGGTCTTTGCGGTGTTTGGGATAATCAGGGCGTTGCCGAACAACAAAGTCCAGTACGCTGGGTTCTGATAATTGCGGGAGTATTCGTGAGGATCCAAGGCATCGCTGATAGTAATCAATAAATGCTCGGTCTGATAGGGTCTGTTCGCCGATTTGAATTATAAAGCTGCGTGCAAAGAATAGCTCTTGCCATATCCAGACACGGTACCAGTAGGTGCACTTGTATAGCTCTGTCAAGGCGCTGGTAGGGAACGGGTGGCCTGATAAAGATTTATCAGCCCCAAGAGCATCGCCCTGGGCTGCCAGGTCCTTTGCAATGCGGTCGGCACTAGCAGAAAGAATACCAACCCATACAATCACCTGTCGGGCTGACTTGTATATCTGACTCATTTTCCGAACCTGATGTCCAAGCTCGTTTAGGTTCATCTGGTTGCTACATAATTGATCAATCCATAGAACTCGGCCATATTTTGCCAAGCGAAGATAATAGAGAGCGTTGTAAAGGTTCCTTCTCACGCGGAATCTGTGCCCATTGAGGAAGATTATTTTGGGGTTATCAGGCGATCCCCATTCATAGGACAAGGCTTCGTAAGTCTTCGCGGATCCCAGTTGTATATGGGCCAGATGGCATATAATTGGATCCGATGAAGATCCTTTTGCAAGAGTGACAACTCGAAACTCGTTTGAATTTAGATTTGAATAAGAGAATGTCGTTGGCGGCGCCGGTCTCGAAGGTGGCGCTGGTATCGAGGGACCGCAACCCATGTTAGCAACGACTTTGAAGAAAAAAGTTCACATCATAGGTCCTGCCCTTCCTTAAGAGATAAAATCAGCAAACACTCAGGTGTTGTCCAGTAAGGCTGACTCGAGCGTATCATTGGTGGAACCCCACTTCAATGGGGCTGCGAGGCTGTGAGCCATTGAAAAGTACCTTAAGATGAAGGTCCATGTGATATCTCTACGAAATGGGAAATTACCCAGCATATTGTCCTGCACTGGGGGGTGTCGTTGTAAGCATAGAGGCATACACCCACGTGGAACGGTTACTGAACAAAAATGTCAAAGCCCACTTAACATCAGTTACTGGAGCAGATGAGCCTCATCGGCAAGACCAATTCCAGGCTTTGGCGGACCACCGATTTATTTTCTGGTCCTCTTGCCATGCGCTTGGCAAACAGGTCGAAATCGTCATTTTGATTGGTGCTACAGAAATCGGGTACCCCCTCCCCCCCAGTTTCTATCGAACTCATTGTCCCCAACGTTATGCATGTGGACAGTTCATCATGCTTAGTTAGTCTTGTCATGTATATAAGGAGCCCGTCTGGCCACCAGGCCATGATCAGGCAATAAGTGCGCAGTCAATTCATTCTTTCGGGTTTCTACTATCCCTTCGGGGCGGTTTCCTTATCGGCTAACGCATCATCCCTCCACCATCTGAGCAGTCATACGCACCCTTTTCCAGTATTAGGATATTCAGGTATACTCCCGTCAGACCTACCCGCTTATCACTCCCAGACTCATCAACAAAAACCGAATGATATGAGTGACACTTGGATAATATATGTTGATAGATATCTCATAGCTAAGGGTTCTGTTCTTTCACTTTTTACTAATATTTCTTTTTCATCCAGCCTTCCTGGGAAAGGGCTTATTAGATGGTTTATGATAATGGTAGTATATTCAATTTATCCTATAGCACGGTACCTTAAAGCAAACACTGAGGATTTCGCAGAGGCTCTTCATTAAGATATAAAACTAGTTACTTTCTTACTAGCTTCACGGACAGGCCAACTCAAGAAACCATAACTTGTGGGCCATCCGCTGCATGTTCTCGCCCCTCATCTGCATTGTTGCTTTCTCACGAAACAAATGGTTTTACAAGCTCCAGAGACTTATCCCACAACAGCGCTGCCTTCTTCTCATCATATGCCCAGGATGCATACCCTGGGTCGTACTGACCGACATTGGGAGGCCGGGGCTTCGCAATCTGGCAATCTTCAAGGTACTTGCCTCCTTGACCTTTGAATACCTTTGCGGTGGCAGCCCACACTGTTGTGGCTGCACCCTGCTCTGGGCTCTTGAACATCTTCGCCAAATGAGGATCAGCGCCCAAGCCTTTCACTTGCTCGTCCGAGAAGTGTTGCAGAAGCCCGGTCATGATTGCACCAGGATGCACGCTGAATGAGTGCACACCCTTTGGCCCAAAGCGACGTTCGAGCTCGTTGGAGGTCCAGAGATTGGCGGTCTTGCTCTGGGCATAAGCCTTCCATGGATCATATTCGCCCTCGAAGTTGAGGTTCTTGAAGTTCACCTCGCCATCGCAGTGAGCGACGGACGAGAGGATAATAACACGTGATTGAAACTCTGCGGTCGATGATCTCTCGAGGACAGGAAGGAGTAGTTGGATCAGCAGAAAGTGAGCGAGATGATTAGTGCCGAATTGGGTTTCGAATCCGTCGGCAGTCCGACCTTCGGGGGTAGCCATGACACCAGCGTTGTTGATAAGGACGTTCAGACGGTTGGATTTCGCGAGGAATGTCTCTGCACACTTGCGAACGCTAGCCAGAGATTGGAGATCAAGTTCAAACAAGTGGACACGGCCGCTATCAAGAATAGCGCCGAGGGCTGACTTGGCCTTGTTCAGGTCCCGCGCGGTGGCATAAATTGTAGCACCGGTTTCGTAAAGTGCTTTAGCTGTTTCGACTCCAATTCCTGAGGAGCAGCCGGTAATCAAGACCGTCTTGTCGGACCACTTCCCCTTGAGGTTTTCATCTTCGATAATCTGAAGTGCTGTGGGACGAGCATCGCCGGGTCCGTTGAGGTTCTGGTGTACAGATTCGTAGCGAGTAGCCATGGTGTCCGTTGTGATGAGAATTGATTGACCAAGGATAGATGATTAACTAGGCCGACTGAGGATGTTGAAGGATCTACGATTGATTTTATATCTTCAGAAAACTGGTATACGGTTTCATTGTTTTCCAGCTTTCTCTGGATTCCGATAATGTTCGGACTGTATTACGTCGACTCCACGGAGTTAGATCTACGGTTCATCTTTATCTTCAGAAAATGGTTGTTGTTACCGCTAAATCCGTTCTGGGGTATACGACTTAACTAACTTTCGGCTATCTCTGGATCCCCGAAAATATTCGGACTTCCACAAAGTATTACCTCGACGGAGTTAGCTGACGCCATGCTTAAGCTAATTCCAAACTAAATCCGGGCCGTGGTACGGCGTCCCCGGCAACTTTCCCAGCGTGATACCAAATGCTAGATCCAAATTTAGTTGCAGAATTACCAAGCGTCTTAAAAGATCCCCAATTAATTGATAATACACCGGATGATTAAGGCTCCGCTCATGTTAGTGGCCATGTCCGGTTTTAAATTCGCAAGAAATGATCGGTGAAGCAACGATCAACCCTCATTATTAAGTAGTCTTTGGACTTTGGGCAGCGTTGATCAATTCTCGAATATCTCTCTGTCGAAATAATGTCCATCCCCGCGTCCTACCAAGCGTTCCGGCGTGCCCCAGGAGGAAGGCCAAAACTGTCGTCCCGGCGGTCGAGAAGACTCCTTCGCTACAGCCCAACGAGGTCCTGATTAAAGTCCACGCGGTTTCCCTGAACTACAGAGATGTCGGAATGCTGCATGGCAAGTACCCCGTCTCCGTTAAGGACCAGGGTATCCCAGCGTCCGACTGTGCCGGGGAGGTGGTGGCTGTGGGATCAGCCGTCGAAAAGGTCTCCGTTGGAGACCGTGTGTCACCTGTCTTCGACATGAAATATCTCAAAGACACGGATCCGCAAAATGAAGTCGCCCAACTTGGGGGCAACATTGATGGGGTTTTGCAGCAATACGCAGTGTTCGACGAGAACGTGCTCGTTCACACCCCACAACACCTGTCCTGGGAGGAGGTATGATATGATATTCCAATGGTTGCTGAGATTCCATTCTGGGTGTGTTGACTAAGTCATTTCCTTCTTCAATTTCAAGGCTGCATGCATCACTTGTGCCGGCACCACGGCGTGGAACTCCCTGACGATGCCAATTGACCAGGGCCGCAAACTCACTGCGTTGATGCTCGGTAAGTCGACAGTTATGCAGAGATCGTATCCGGGAATCGTCAAGGACTGACGCGGGGAACCGGCCTTTAGGAACTGGGGGCGTAAGCATGTTTGCGTTACTTATTTGCCTGGGTGCGGGTATCCGACCTATCATTACATCTTCGTCAGACAAAAAGCTTCAGGATATCGCAGCCCTTGCTCCCGACGGGGCTATTGATGTTATCAACTATAGGAGCCATCCTGACTGGGAGAAAGAAGTTCTCCGACGGACCAATGGAAGGGGCGTTGACATTGTGCTGGAAACAGTGGGAGGCACCAGCATCAAGAAGAGTATCTCGTCGCTGGCCAAGCGAGGTGTTATATCCTGGGTTGGTTGGAACTGGACGGGTTCTCGGAAGCTTTGGGCCACCTCTTCCTGAAGGTTGGAACTCTGAAGTAAGTTCTTTCTCATTCTGACCGTAACCAGTGATCGGACAGGGACTTGGATAGACACTGACTGGTGCGCTAGAGCAATTCAAGTTTGTTCCAAAGTTGATCAACAAAATTTATGCCGGTTCCTGGAGGAGAAAAAGATTGATTTGAACCCTATAATTGGCAAGCCTTTCCCGTTCGAAGAATCTCCTGCGGCATTTGACTATCTTTATTCTGGGCAAGCCGTGGGAAAGGTGGTTATTACTCTGGGATAGGACCTGGCTGAACTGCCGTCATTTTCTGACAGAACGTGACAGCCCGTCTGTTCCAATGTATTCAGTCATTCTGGAAAAAGGGGTTTTGGGGGGTAACTTCGACGCGCTCTCTGTGACGAATGCTTAGTCTGCGGTTTGCCCTGTTATATCATGTAGTTCGCAATACTTGTTATTGATAGTCGTGGTGGAAAGACTCCTTGCCCTACAACTGTACTATCGTTGCCGAATTAGAGGGGCTTATTATCAAGACAGTTGTTGGTCGGGTGTTCTAAGACAGTAACATCAAGATCAAGATGCAAATCTAAATAACTCTGTGGTTCTCTCTCGAAGAAGCCAGAGTAGACAGCGGAGTAGACCCTCGCTGTAAAAGCCACTGTTATGATTCACGACTTTATAAAATAAATCAGCCCGTTTAATAAGCCAGACAACCGTTTGACATGGAATCGTAGGCTGTACATGTAGTTCATTGCTCTGAAAAGTGAGAGCTTCTCGGTACTCTTGCATTCCCGAGCTCTCTCATACTATGAGACTGACTGACAGATGAATCATCTGTATGGAACATATCAATCCGGTTCCTAGACGCGGAGAGTTTTCAATCCGTGGGTAAACGCAGACAAATATCTACGAGCGAGGGCCATGGTTCGATGGGCGATGGGTCCGATAGAGTTTCACAACCCCGATGATTTTCGGAATACCCAAGATACAACAAACATCTGATCCTCATTCATGACGTAAATGCTTTCCGCTCCGAAGGACATTCGAGATGTCGATAATATTCGGCATTGGATGTCCCAGAGATTACAGAGAACTGGGATATAAGAGAAAGGTGGGATTGTGGGGTCTCCAACAAATACAGATCACAACCAGTTGACTTCAAGAACACAATATCCTCATTCTCCAGTATCTAGATCCCTTACATTCCTGAACCGTTCAGCATGTCGGAGATTTCGATCAAAAAAGGCCCCATCACGCTGGCAGGCCTCCTTTTCAAACCTCCCACCCAGGGCAGCAAGATTCCTGGATTGGTGATTGTCCATCCCGGCGGTGGCGTCAAGGAGCAGACAGCCAAGACATATGCATCGAGATTGGCCACAGCTGGCTTCACAACCATCGCCTACGACGCGTCCTACCAAGGAGCCAGTGGCGGGGAACCGCACTTCCTCGAAGACCCGAACGAGCGTGTGAGCGACGTCTACGCAGTGATCGACTACCTCCAGAACCTGGACTATGTGGACCCAGAAAAGATTGGTGTTTTGGGAATCTGCGCCGGAGGTGGCTATGCCGTGGCCGCAGCCAAGGGAGACCACCGACTCAAGGCGGTTGCAACCGTCAGCATGGTAAACATCGGAGACTCCGCTCGCAAGGGCTGGGATGGTGACGATGACCCTTCGAAACAAGTCGCGGTGCTGGAACAAGCAGCTGCCCAGATTACTGCTGAAGCAAGGGGCGCCGAGCGCGCTGCCGCACCCTATGTCCCGCCACAGCCTGACGACAAGACCCCGCGAGACATGCGGGAGGCCAGTGACTACTATCTCACTCCTCGGGCGCAGCATTCCCGTGCCGCGAACAAGATGCTCTATCTGAGCTTCCCACGGGTGCTCACGTTTGATGCTTTCCTTCTGGCTGACGTGTTTCTGACTCAGCCAGTTCTTCTGATTGCAGGGGACAAGGCTGGATCCTTGTGGCATACTGAGCGTTTGGATAAGTTGATTGGCGGCGCAAAGAAGAAGGTCATTGTTCCCAACGGAGCGCATATGGACTTTTATGATAACGAGGCGTATGTTGAACCCGCTGTAAGGGAGGTTGCCGACTTCATGATGCAGTATCTGGCTTAGGCGAGCCTGGGGAGACCTCAATCATGACATAGTACTAGCATACTTTCTCTGATGACTTGCAATTTGTACTGAACTATGAGTAGTACTCTGTGGAACATTTGCTAAGCTCTAATTTTAAAAAGGTTTACTAAAACACTATCAGTCTCTATCGCACCGGGGCTCGGTGTTTCAATTTTGCGATTGGCCATCATTGAGAGGAAGGACAAGTAAGGGAACGACGACGCAGAAGGCGTGGTCATATGCTCTCCCTACTGCTGAACATCAACATGGTCCGAGAACAAAGGTAAACCCTTGTCTCAAGTACTGGAGAAAACTCGCGCCTTCATAGCCACCTGGAACAGGCTATATGCTGATCCTATATGAATTAGGCTCCGTGGGAAGGTATGAAGCGTGAGTCAGATGGCGCAGCTCAGCTTCCGCAGTTCAGCTTAATTTTCATCCACGGTATAAACGATCATTAGAACGCAGTCTGCAGCAATTTTTCTCTATCTCTCGCTCGGTAATGTTGGCTGCATACCTGGTATCTCCATAAAGATATTTTGGAGCTCCGCTGCTGAGTTCATACAACGAAGTCAAGCACACGCAATGTCCCTCGTGCTACGGGAAGCGCACTTAGAAGATGCTAGTGCAATGGCACAGGTCATGGTAGCCGCTTACCAAGATCATCCAATATGGAAACGGATGATGCACTGTGTACCGGTTCCCGATCAGATTGACTTTGTGGAGAAGACACTCCGTCAACGTTTGGGATCAAGTGGTACTTTCTCATATACGGTCATTATTGATGCAGATTTGTGAGTGAGGCCAGCTACTGTCTTCCAGTCTTGCACGAGAAGTAGCGGGCGGCTGACCTTTGAGGCCATGTATGCTAGGCGGATTGTTGCATGGACTGGACTGAAGCTCCCGAGCCACGAGTATATCTCGGACGAAAGTGTGGAACGGCAGACAGAGATAACACTGCCGAATGGTGTTGACAAAACGGCGGCAAAGGACTTTTTCGAGGCGTTGTCGCCTCCCCTCGAAAAGTACGGGTATAATCCAAAAGAACATGGCGGTATGTGGGACTTCCAAAGCCAAGAATATGACAACTAAGGAGCTGCTCTAAGCACGAGCGTGGCGCATTTATGAGCATGGAGTATTTCTCGCCGCATTTTCGCAGCTAATTTTTGGCTATCCTACAGAATGGCGAGGCTTGGTAGTCCATCCAGCTTATCAACGTATGGGACTGGGAGGCCGATTGGCTGCTCACCGCGGCGATATCGCCAGGCGTGCGGGTTTCGCTATTTATGGAGTTGCAAGGACAACCTCGCGAAGTCTATTCACACAGCATGGGGCGGTCGTTCTCGGCACTTGTTGTGTCGACATGGAAAATTATGGCGGGAGCTGCCTAGCTCATGGCCAGGTCTTTGTTATGCGACAGGGACAACATGTTGAGAATTGCCAGGAAACTCAATAGGGAAGGACGACGTGATATTGCTCTTTCATAGGCAATATCAATATAAATTTTGTAACTAGGCCATTGCGCCACTTGTAGCGCATTTTATAAGAGCAAAGATAGAGAGGTTGGTATGGACTTAAAGACAGGGAGGCATACACCACTAAGTAGTCAAGCAGCCCAACAATCCCCAGCGGCAATCTTTTTCAAACTTCGGATGAGGACGCTCTTATCCTCGAGCATTAGCGCAAATCCTGCCGTGCCTGGAATATCCAGAGTAAAGCCATCCCATACTGAAGGTCCGAAAATAGAAGGGGACGGCAGCGGGAAGCTAAAACTGGAAGAAATCATAGGAAACGCATGCTAATTTTGGGCCATTCTAACAAACTGTCTAGCGGCATAGGCTTCCTATTTATTGTCTTTCTTCCCACAACTGTTCCATTCCAAGGGGACCATGCATGAACTGATTTGGGTCTGTTGGCCGTGGAAGGGTTTGTCCTTCTGTAGCAACCCTGTTCTCAAGCTGCCAACGAAGCCATTGTTCGTGGTCAATACATTGCCGTTGCGGCGTAAAGTCCGTAGCTGGCGTATTCCAGCCATCCATCCAATTGAAAGTAAGTGCATTAAATGAAGGCTGGCAGCGGAGGTCCTGTACAAGCACGTAGAGGCAATGAGATAGATGGATGCGGTCTAATTTTGGCGTGTCTTCGAACCGGTTGTACTGCGGACCGTAAAAATAGTCAAAGTAGGCATACTTGCGCACGAAGTTCAAGCAGTGGATATTGTGCTGCATTTCAGTTTGCCAAATATAAGCATCGGGACCGTAACCTGGGACGGCGTTAGCTGTGCGCTGAAACGAACATGCCAGATCAAGCGGCGCCTACCCCATGATGGAGGAAGCTTGACGACTTTTTCGGGGTCCTTGCCCATTTTGACGACCTCTTCTCTACTCATTATCATGGGACCCAGCTGTGATATCCGGTCCCATTCTGCATTAGATTCGGGAGAAGGTTCAGCTCGCAGAAGGGAATGAGTCACGTCAAACAGATAGCCATCCACAGTATAGTTATGTAGGGGCAGCTCTATCCGTTCTAGAATTGGAGCTGTGATTAATACAATGTTAGAAGCTTTTTTGCAATATCGGGTAAGGCCAAAGTGACCGTACAGTAGGCATTGACGCTTTTGAAGACTTGATTAGCTGTGAGGTGCCCAGTGGTAGCCCGGAAATTGTACGCCAGCGTGATAACAGTCGAGACAGAAAACATAATAATATTCAGGAGGAGGAATATCCATGATATGTAGTGCTTGTGTTTTCGCGCAGATGGTAAAACCTGCTTTGGCTCCTCCTCGGTATCCTTGATTAGAAGAAATGCGTTAGACCACAATGGCCTCGAGGATTGGATAATAATGTTTACTCAACTGAAAATGTTGTGGGCAATAACAGGGAATACCTGGTCTCATCATCCTTCTTGAATGGTGCCATTTGTTCAAGCTAAGAAGATTAAGAGACCGAGAAGAGGGTAGGATATAGTAAAGCAAAGGTCGCAATCTTCCTCCTCTCGTAAAGACTAGGTTCAAGAGAGACCTAAATATAAAGACTGATATGCTCCAAGTCCGTTGCGTGCGAGATCAGATATGATCACATAAAGCACCAAAGCACTTCGTCACCAATGCCATCTGTGGTCAAAGCCTTTGTCGGCGTGTAAGATAGTGCGCCAAACACATTAGTATGCAGGGGATGCCTTGGGTTCTACACCGCTTAATAACTGAGCTATGGTTTGCATCCATCTCCATGTAAGGGAAAGACGAAGGGAAACACAAATGCCTCGAGTAGGGAGAAACATTATCAAATCGTTGGATTGTCGATCTCGGTACTATTCACTATGAAGATAAGCGAAATCCATACTGAGACTACATCATCAAACAACTTTCCGTATGCATGGCTTCTTTGATCATCTGAGCTAGACGATAATTCCCGGGACTGTGCTCGTTGGACAGCGATGGCATCAGCCAGGAGGACTTTCTCCCCACTGTCAATACATATTCATCCCTTGAGCGCCTGACATGGTTGCCGACAGGGTAGTGGTTCGGGACTGGTCGGTGCTATTATTCGTTGAAATCGTCAGTTCATCAGATGAAGACGTAAAAAGCCTCAACGCAGTGTTACTGTAGTGAAAGCCAGAATGTGAACGTTACCTATAAAGCGCGCATATGAAGTAACCTTGCACAGGGGAGCACTTAGTGGTAAGCATGTTTCTTCGTCATAGTTGCAGGCCCAGGAGACCATGTGATCCCAATGCCAAGTGTGAGATGCAGTAAAACAGACACCGACGTGAAGATTCGAGAATCATTGCCAGTTATGACATGCATTTTTCCAGCATTCCCCAGTGCCAAGTAAGGAGAGTCATCTCCAAGTTTGAGATTAAGCCCGTTACCGACAAATTACACCCAGATACGGCCAGAGAAATCAGCGGCATTTATCTCGATGAAGTTGGGGACGGAATGAAGAGACTTTAGCAATGCGAACGTAAGGGGCGCACTGTACTTTAGGGTTGCGCTGTAGAGCATTTCCATTTTTCTTGAATTCGTTGTGTGTTGGAGTCTGTTGTGATGTAGAAGTTCCTTCCAAGGCACAGAACCTCGTCGAACAGATATTATAAATACCTTCTCGTCCATTGCCTCTATGTGTCCTCATCGTAACGACACGGAAAAGGCAAGGCTCATATAGCTTGGAGCAATCTCCCCACTGTCACTCCTCCAACCCCTTTTTTATTTGGTACTTCCCCTTTCAAATCTTTGAACCAGTTCTTTGCCGATATGAAGGTCGCTGCTCTGCTGACCACATCTGCCTTGTGGCTATTCACCCTGACGGTCGCCAGTGAGTATCACAAGACTGATACTTGTTTTCAAAACTGCTCACTTACAGATAGGTCCTGTTCCCGAMTCTATCGGAACCGTTGAGGCGGTTCAAGGTAGCTCAACTGACCACCCGGAATGGCCTGCGAACAATGCTATCCAGCCAGGCCAGCGGCCCAACACTGAGTCTGAAGATACCAGCTTCAAGTACTGGAAGCGTGCCGAGGGTCATCCCAACTGGCCTG